TATATCCACCAAGGGCGTAGGTTTGATTTCAACTTTGGTAGGGACACTATTGGTCTTCAGTTTCTTTTGTCCTTTGCAAAAATATTGATGCTCTTTTATGCTTAATGTGAGCATCAGGGCACATTTTGTTTAAAGAGAACAGTAGCATTTCTTGCTACGTAACTACAAATCTTATAAGCACTACACACACTAGATGCTGTTTATCAATGTTTAAAGCATCACTGGCTCTGACGAATGTGGATTTGGACTTTTTTTCCACTTTGAAAAGGTTTGCATTTAAACTTACCACCGACTAAGACAGTAGGTAAATTCGTACCTATTTAACCAAATGTAGTCTAATTTTATCCGTTATATGTTGATTTATCCTGTGTTTTCTTTTGAAGATATAGAATTGGGAAGAGGTAAACCCCACTCTTATTTTTTTTTATCTAATATGCTCTCTCTGTATCATCCAAAATAATACATTCAAGGGAAAGTAAATAAATGTATTGTATTTACATGTGCACTGCAACTATAAGAGGAACTGACACTGAGCATTTAAAATATTAACTTCACTATACAAGTTGTACATATGGGATGTAGTTACTCTGTGTCGCCCACTTCAAGTATTTTATCTTGGGCTGAAACAATGAATCATATTAATCTATTATTTAAATAATCATCAACTAATTTAGTAATTGATTAATCATTAACTGGAGTAAAGGGCCACTAAAATGTGCCTTTAACTTAGAGCAGGAATTATACCAAGATTGTAAAAAATGTTTGTAAAAAATTTTCCAGACATTAATGTTTGTATTAATTTACTTTTGGACCGTGTGGAAATCTAGAAAAATAGAATCAGTGTAACTAGAGTTCCTCTGTTTGTCTTTATCCTATTTCTAGAAGTAGAAGTCAATTAAATAGAACTACTTTTATGTGGAAAACAAAAATAGCAGATCTTTAACATCGTTCTCATGTTTTATGTTCTACAAAAGAAATAACAGTTGTTATTTATACCTGAACTACCGTCAAAAATGCAAAAACAGTAACACCAAAGAAATATTGGTAAAAGGGAGTCAGAAATGTTAATAGCTTACAGTCTTTGTTCATTTTAACAGCAGTTTTCTGAACTCCTGTCTGACTCAGAATATTTAGTTTTATAAAGAAATCCTAACGTTGGTTTCTTACATTTCTAAAGTATCACAAATCCAAACTCTCTCCTGCTTCTTTACAGAACTGCAATCAGAAACTTTCTCCTGATTTAGCCTAGATAATATTTCATTTTTTAATTGTACTACTTTCGTAGCCTATTGATAACCGGTGTAATAATAGGTTAATGATAAACATCTCCCTGAAATTAGTTTTTGGAACTTGGGATGGCTGCTATATTAATTAGGCTATGTAATCTAGGCTATGTATAGGCTTAAAAAAAAAAACAAAAAAAATCCACCCTTCTTTTATTAAAACTAGACTACTGTATATATATATATATATATATATATATATATATATATATATATATATATATATATATATATATATATATATATATATATATATATATATATATATATATACATGAAAGCCCAACTTAGTACATTGTAAATATGAAATGACAAGAAAAAACTTTCATACTTGTTAATTTCATTTTATTAAGTTGCTACCAGAAATAGAAAAAAACCCCCACATATTAATATTAGTGAATCACAATACTATTGAAGAGCTCATTTATTATAGTACTTTAAATTCAGAAATAAAAATTTTAATGTTGAAATAATAATGATAAAAAGGTTAATGTTTCTAAGACTTTATCTCTCTAAATTTTGATCCTCTTTCAATTGTACAGAATACAATATATACAGAATATATATATATATATATATATATATATATATATATATATATATATATATATATATATATATATATATATATATACACTATATTGCCAAAAGTATTTGCTCACCTGCCTTGACTCACATATGAGCTTAAGTGACATCCCGTTCCTAATCCATAGGGTTCAATATGACGTCGGTCCACCCTTTGCAGCTAGAACAGCTTCAACTCTTCTGGGAAGGCTGTCCACAAGGTTTAGGAGTGTGTTTATGGGAATTTTTGACCATTCTTCCAGAAGCGCATTTGTGAGGTCGCACACTGATGTTGGACGAGAAGGCCTGGCTCTCAGTCTCCGCTCTAATTCATCCCAAAGGTGTTCTATCGGGTTGAGGTCAGGACTCTGTGCAGGCCAGTCAAGTTCATCCACACCAGACTCTGTCATCCATGTCTTTATGGACCTTGCTTTGTGCACTGGTGCACAGTCATGTTGGAAGAGGAAGGGGCCAGCTCCAAACTGTTCCCACAAAGTTGGGAGCATGGAATTGTCCAAAATGTCTTGGTATGCTGAAGCATTCAGAGTTCCTTTCACTGGAACTAAGGGGCCAAGCCCAGCTCCTGAAAAACAACCTCACACCATAATCCCCCCTCCACCAAACTTTACACTTGGCACAATGCAGTCAGACAAGTACCGTTCTCCTGGCAACCGCCAAACCCAGACCCGTCCATCAGATTGCCAGATGGAGAAGCGCGATTCGTCACTCCAGAGAACGCGTCTCCACTGCTCTAGAGTCCAGTGGCGGCGTGCTTTACACCACCGCATCCGACGCTTTGCATTGCACTTGGTGATGTATGGCTTGGATGCAGCTGCTCGACCATGGAAACCCATTCCATGAAGCTCCCTGCGCACTGTTCTTGAGCTAATCTGAAGGCCACATGAAGTTTGGAGGTCTGTAGTGATTGACTCTGCAGAAAGTTGGCGACCTCTTCGCACTATGCGCGTCAGCATCCGCTGACCCCGCTCCGTCAGTTTACGTGGTCTACCTCTTCGTGGCTGAGTTGATGTCGTTCCCAAACACTTCCATTTTCTTATAATACAGCTGACAGTTGACTGTGGAATATTTAGGAGCGAGGAAATTTCACGACTGGATTTGTTGCACAGGTGGCATCCTATCACAGTTCCACGCTGGAATTCACTGAGCTCCTGAGAGCGACCCATTCTTTCACAAATGTTTGTAAAAACAGTCTGCATGCCTAGGTGCTTGAATTTATACACCTGTGGCCATGGAAGTGATTGGAACACCTGATTCCAATAATTTGGATGGGTGAGCAAATACTTTTGGCAATATAGTGTATATATATATATATATATATATATATATATATATATATATATATATATATATATATATATATATATATATATATATATATTACAGTGTGACAGTGGCAAAAAAATTCAAACAGAAGAAAGCTTACAGATGATGAAATCATATATAAAAATTTTGTTAACAGAGGAAGAGGAAATATCTCTGACAGACTGTGGGATGACTAATAAGGCATATTTATGTACATAAATAACTGAAAAGAAGAGAAAACAAAAGCAAGTTTATACATTCTGGTTTATAAATGCAAGCAACCTTTAGGCAGGACTAGGCCTTGTTAGAATTTGCCAGACCATGGTTCAGACTGAGATTCCCCCTTTCAATTCTGATTACTATTGATTCTCGATTTTAATGCTTCCAAGAGGAATTATCATAACTGTTTATATGTGTTAAATTATATGGCTATAATGAGCTGAATACAATAAGCTGAATTTCTCAATTGTTTTAAAATTTAAGTTTATGAAGAATATTACTATAAGTAATCAGGTGGTTATTTTCAAATAGTATATAAATGCCAAACCAATAAACTCTTATATAAAACTTTTACATTTTACACCTTTGCTTGGGGCTTTATTTTTGCATTTTGGAGGTATGTATGCTGTGTAAATTAAATGTTATTATTTAATTGATTCTTTATGCAGTTCGATGCTAGCCTGAGTGCTGGATCTAGAAGAAAAAGCAGTATGTTGTGCTATTGAATGTATACCATTACCTACAGTTCTTATATATCCTCAGCATTGTTTACTGGCTCTCAATCCCATTCCAACTAGTAGATTAAAGTAGTAGTTATGGTGATTTAGTACTCAGTCTTTGTGAGTACAAAAGTTTCATATGCAACAGATGCCAACAAAAAAGCCTTGTTGGAACTTTATTCATTAAACTATTTAATTAAATATGATTATGTTATGTAAACAGAATTTCAGTTTTTATTTTTCTGTCAAACTTTAACTATACAGCTACATTTTTACATCACTGAATTTAACAATCAAGAAAATGGTACAGTGTACCAGCTGGGGTACGATAACCTATAAACCAGATTAATATGTGTCGTTCAATTCAGTTCCCACACTGAATCCAATCGGTAGCCTTCTGTAGAACATGTTTGCAAAAGGAAAGGATAATCAGGAAGATTTTTCAAGCTGACTGGGTTCCTGCCTCCTATGTCGTGTGTTTAGCCAATCACAGCAACAGTCATAGCTAAGACGAATCACATTCTTGATGTGTTTCACTGGGTTAACGGATAAATCAAACTCCTACTGTACCAAATTCCATCAGGAAGAACACACAAACATCTTCCCAACCACAGAGGGGAAAAAAATCACGTTCTTTTGCTTGTTTTTCAAAAGGAAATAGCTGAAACGAGCATAGCCATGTTTATTTTGCTTAAGCCTTCCGCCTCTGGTTGATGTGTTGACATCATACACTTCATTGCATTTCATTGATCTAATAATATTTCTGTATCAAGGCATTTAGAAGCTTCTGGGAAGATTCATTTTTTGGAGTTTGCAAATGTCGTGACAAGTCATCTTGCTTGCAAGTGGTATGGTGAAGCAGCAAAAAGTCTCTTACACTGAATGCTGAACCAAGCTGGTCCAGCTGTGGCTTTTACTTCAGGTATTGTACTTGAAAGAAAAGTTGTTCATGGGGTCATGCACTTTCTGGGCATTTATGGGCAAAACTTGCTATACACTTGCATAAATGTCCTCCATTCTCCAATAGCCCCTCTGTTTCCTTGGGTTTCTGTTTTGCCATTTTCTTTTCACAAGGTTAGTTAGTATAGGTTGGTGGGGGGATTTTTTTTTTAATGAATCTTATAATTCTTTTCTGTCTGGTGCCGGGCTTTTCCTGTTTATTTGGGGGCTTGACACAGGATCGCCGAACCTAAATAATTCCTAGCATCACTCTGACTGCTGTGCGGTGTGGTGTGGCCAGTGCAAGTAACCCAGATTATTAAAATCAATGTGTACACTTTAACCAGCAATGGTGTTGTCCAGGTGGTTATACTAAAATGATTCCTTAAGAATGAAGTTTGGTTGGACACCCAAGTGGTCCAGTGTCAAGCGCTAAGAAGTACACCAGCATAACAGGAAATCAAGAACCATACAGAAAAAAAGTCCATGTGCATTTATACATAATTTTTTCTTTTTTTTTAGGGCACTAGTGGCTTGTTTTTTCTGACAGTAGGCTGACAGGAAGGGGGTTATGAGAGAAGGGGAGAGACATGCAACAATGGACCACAGGCTGGATTCAAACCCACGAAAGCATCCGTACATGGGTGGTGCACACTAAACACTGCGCCACCTGCATGCCCCATTTAAAATAATAAAATGAAGCCACTGACTTAAGGTAATTTGACTAATAGAAGCAAAAAGACAAAACAGAAACATGAGCAAACAGAGGGGCTGTAGGAGAATAAAAAATTATATTTATGCTACAAAGAATAGTTTTGCCCTAAAAAAAAATGTGAACCGACATGATCTTCTTTTCTATCTATCCCTGTTTTGGGGCCAAAGCTGAGCAACCCTGGTTGTTGCCAGAAATAGCATGTTTAACTACATATTTTTATATACATTTTTACCCATTTTGATCCTACAATAAAATAACATTTCAGTTTTTTTGAATTTCAAAATTAATTTTTTTTTTCATATTTATTTATCAACATTCTAGGATTTGGGTTGGTTGCCTTTTGGTTTTTTCTGCTTTATTTTTTTGTTTCGTTTTGTTTTATCATTACCTTGTGAGCTTTTTCGTAAGAATTTTTTAATTTCATCTACTGCCTGCTCATTCTGTGGACAGAACAGCAAACCTGCAAAGGTTTCATGGAAGAGAACATGAACATCCAGGCAAACATTATTGGTGGTTTCAGACCAGTCAATCCCAGCAGTTGAGTAGTCAGTATCCCGTGTGTGGTGCATCAAAACCAGGATAATATTTTGGTCCTCTGTTGAAGGAAAGAAGAAATGGGATTTAATGTTGCAACATACTTTCCTACTTAATCTAAATCTTATCGTTAAATTGTCAATCTCAAAATAAGTAATAAAACGACTACTAATTTAATGTGCAAGAAAAAACAAAACAGTATTTTAATCATAGATTATAAATAACACACTGAATATAGAAAAATGAGCAGTATACCAAGACACAAACCATGGCAAATTCTTGGATTTTCAAATCTAAGCTTTTCTATATACTGTAACTACAGCAGCAGAAACATCATATTGTGGGGTACACAAGGCAATTTATTCAGTATAAAAAGCAGAGATGTGAACAAATGTAAATAATTTTATTCTAAATCTAAAGTCTTTAAACCGTCAGTCAAATTTAAATTTCCAAGTCTTTTGGCCAAGCTCATTTAAATCTCTGGTATCTATCATCTCTGGTATCTTATCATCCCAACAAATTCAAGATCACCTCTAACCTTTTCTGACTAGAACTCAAGAAATTAAGTGTTAGTCCATGGCACTGAATTATCCCTTATTTGTTAATTATCTTTGAACCCTTTGACATTTATTAGGTTATTGTTTTATCTTTAAACATTTATTTCAGCATAAAAGAAACTTATTTATATTATTTAGAAAACTATTAAAATCTAACATTTAGGTTTTCTAATAAAAATGTTATTGTTAAAATCTGTCGTACTTTACAATCATACAGATAGGGCCTGACATTAAGACCCTCCAACCAACAAAATGTGTCTGAATTTCAGCTGTGAGGGTCGGCACAGCCACTCTTAGCCACTTTGGTTGATTGGGCTCTATTTACTTTTTAATTGTAGTTTTCTCGAAATTCATTTGAAACAGTAAGCAGTTCACCTTCCACTAGACCCACAAGCACACAATGGTGGTCAGTTTGTGACCGATGTCACTTCAGGAAGGTGGCCCTATAGATAAAAAAGTTTTTGAAGCTGTTATAGCACATTTAAACCTGCAGTCCAGTCCTGGCAGGCCAAAAAAAACAACAACAAACTGATGATAGAACAAAGAAAGGGAAGAAAAAAAACTGGAGTTTGACACAGTTGACAACTTAGCGAACGTATCACTATTAGTAAGTTTATTAATTTTTTTAAGTAACACGCAACAAATCTAGGTACTTTTTCTATCTTGTTGGACACAACACTTTTGATGACTTGTTTTAATAATATTATTTAATACTAATAAGTTTTATTATTTTTTACACTGCATAAAATCGTATAAAAGGGGCTTTACTGAAAAAACTTTTCAGAGCTGAATACCTGATAATGACAAGTAGTGTTACACATTTTATGGAGTTTGATTCGCGTATCTAAGGGTTGTTTACACTTTAACAAGTTGTAAATCTAGTTTAAGTAAACTTTTGCATGCCATAGTCAGCTTTAATCATATTAGACATTACTTTGCAACAACAAAATTGTGCCCACAATTGGTCGACTATGGTGTGAACATGAATATGTTTTATAGTGTAGCTTCCCATCTATAGTATCAATAATTTAACCTAAAATGCAGACACCACAAAATCATCCCAAGAGTTTACACCTTTGTTCCACAGTGTAAAGGTCACAGAGCTGGGAATATCCTCCTGAAAGCACAGCAAACCTTCTAGGTTTTCTCCAGCTCTTCTCTGAGCCCCTGGAATTTCTCTTGTTTCATGTTCCCTTTTCCTGGTGCTGCTGTCATTTGATATTTCCATGTCAACCACAATGGCCTTCCTCTGCTTTTTGTCCACCACCACAATGTCCAGTTGATTTGCCATTACTGTTTGGTCCGTCTGTATCTTGAAGTCCCACAGGATCTTGGTCATTCTCTACCATCTTTGGGGGTGTTTCCCGCTTTGTCCTTGGGGTTTCCAGCCCATACTCTGCACAGATGTTCCTGTACCATGGAGGTCTTCAACAGGGGCTACGTGACCCCTAGGTACTGCATGGGGGTCGCAAAACTTTTGATTGATTTGACTTTTTTTATTTTATTCCCCCCTGCAATTTTTTTCCATTGAAATGTATATAGACACACATTAACATGAATTCAACACACTGTAGTAAACAGATAAATGGAGGGACAAGATGTCTTTCAGTTATCAATGCACACATTCAGTGACACAAAGGAGCTTTTTTATGCTGGCCGCCGTTTCATTCACAACACCTGTCCCAGCAACAAGGAAACAGAATCAGAAATACTTTAATAATCCCAGGGAGAAATGACTTTCGTTACATTACTCCATCTGTAATTGTGTGACTATAGGAGCAGTTTGATATAACACAATTTCATACAATATATATTATTAGGGGGTCCCTGCTCCATCTTGTCATCAGTTTTGGGGTCCTTGCCCTGAAAAATGTTGAAGACCCCTGCTGTACACTATTCCAGCCACTTGGTTATGGCACTCCATATAAGCTTTCCCTGCTAGCATCTTACACCCTGCAGTTATGTGCTGGATTGTCTCAGGGGCCTCTTTGCACAGTCTGCACCTGGGGTCTTGTCTGGTGTGTTAGGAATCCAGTTTTGTGTGGGTTGTGTTTTTGTGTTTTTCTCTCCCTCCACCACCAGGTGGTGCCCTGTCCTCGTTGGTCCTCTAACACACCTGCAGCTGGTTGACTCATCACTGAGGACTATTTGAGCCATGGACTGTCACTACCTCGGCGCCAGAGTGTTTGCCAGTTTTGGGTACTCTAGCCAAACTGAGATTAGCTGAGTCTAACTGAGTCTTTGTTTTCACTGAGTCTAACTGTGTTTTTTGTCTTTGCCTTTCAGCAGGAAGTCATCCTGCAAGCTGGATGCTTTGGCCTTCTCCCCCTGGAAGGATTGTTTGTGTCTCACACTGGGCAGGGGATTAACCTACACAAGTTCCGTTCAAGTCCTCCTGGATTTCCAAGTGACAGTCCGCTCAATAGCTCCTCAGGGTCTAACTAAGTCTATACCTGTCCGCCCTCCAACGAGTCTCAACCTCCTAAAAAACCCAAACCGACTGGATTCTGGAATGAAAGTTTTCTCCACTAACGTGAGTCCCGTTTTCTCTGTCTCTCTCTAAAGTTATCATTCAAAGTTCCCACGGATCCTGAACTGACCAATGAAACTTCCCTTCCCTCTTCCAGTTCCGGTTCAACAGTTCACTGTTTCCTGAATCCTACCCTGCTGGTTTCATCAATAAACCTGTTAAAACTTTTACCCTGGTTCTATGAGTGGTTTACTGCATTTGGGTCAGATCTCTTAAGAAAATCATGACATGGTATGGTCGATCTATGCCTCTCGCTCTGATGCTCAGGGCCTGCTCCTGTGCAGCCATGATAAATGCCTCTGTGCTGTCCTTCAGTCCGGCCCTGTCTAGCCATTTGTAGGATTTCCTGATATCAGTTATGTTTCAGTGGCACATCCCGTGTAGGGGCTTATCCTCCCATGACGGAATCCCTAGAACCTCATCTTTTGTTCCCTATTGTCTAGAAATTCACTGAGCACGTTGTCTTTTGGAGCCTTATTCTTGATGTACTTATGGATGTTTCATCCTGGATAGTTGCTCTCACGCACACTAGTTCTCCGCCTCTTACACTTCGGCTAGTGTACAATCTCAGGGTGCTGGATTTGGGGTGGTACCCCCTGTGCATGGTTAGCAGCTTTTGTGTATTAAGATCTGTGGCCTTTATCTCATCCTTTGCCCTGTTTATTATTCCTGCATGGTATCTGATTACTGGTACAGCGTAGCTATGTATTATTGCCATTGAGCTGGCTTCTTATGACCTGCCTTACATTGGAGGTATTTGGTTGTAGCCGCTTTCCTTATCACCTTTTTGAGGTTGCCATTTGCTTGTGGGATTCAAAGGTCCTTGTAACTGTCCTCAATGTCTGCTATTGTTCCTTCTGGGAGGGAAACCCACCGTGTGAAATACCTTCTGACCACACTTCTCTAGTCCAAGTGACATCCTGGTGTCTCTGCTGTATCTCCGAATGGTATGGATCAGTGAATCAATCCTAGCGTACAGCTTGATGTCATCCATGTAGAGGAGGTGACTTGTGGAAGTCCCATGCCTGAGTCAGTATCCATAGCCCATCTTGTTGATTATTTGGCTGAAGGGGTTCAAGCCTATGCAGAACAGCAGTGGGGACATTCCATCTCCTTGGTCTCGAATTACTTTTCTCTCCACCAGGAGCCGATGTTTGGCACCTCTGGTATTTTTACCAGTTTGCTTCTGAGCTGTGCTCATGTATTGGTCCATGGGCCCACTTGTCTTAGCCACTATGATCCCAGACATTAGCTTCCACATTGTGGAGAGGCCGGTTATTGGCCGGTAGATTGATGGGACTGTACCCTTTGAGGGATCCTTCAGGATCAGGATTGTGTGCCCTTTGGTTAGCCATTCAGGGTGGTTCCCATCTTGCCGGAGGCTGGTTCATTTGTGCTACCAAGTGTTCATGGAGTGCCATGAGTTTCTTAAGCCAGTAGACGTGTATCATATCGGGTCCTGGTGCTGTCCGGTTGTTCATACGTGAGACTCTTTCTTGGATGTCTGCCACTGTGGTGGTGGTTCAGAGCCACCAACCACTGTGCATCACTGCGGTGTGCTACCTCCTTCTCCATATGCCTTTCCAGTTCTGTTCAGTTTCCAGCCATGGTGTGGCTGTTCTCCTAATACTCCCCTGCCAATGAGCGTACACTTTCTCTGGTTGCAAGCTAAAAAGGAATTACAACCAAGGCCTCCCACCCCGAAGCTCTTAGTTAATCATATAAACACAATCCAGGGCATGGAGACATAAACTTTTTCACTACACCACCAGAAGGTCTCCAGGTGGGCGCTCACCCACCTGGAGACCACTGGGAGCGCTGTGAGAGTCATGTTCTTTGACTTCTCCAGCGCTTTCAACACCATCAGACCTGTGCTGCTGAGGGGGAAGCTGGAGGATGCTGTGGTGGGCAAGCACCTAGCTGACTGGACCACCAACTACCTCACTGACCGTCCGCAGTACATGCGGCTGCACGGCTGCCAGTCAGAGGTGGCACTCTGCAGCACCGGGGCCCACCAGGGCACCGTCCTGTCTCCTTTTCTTTTCACCCTCTACACTTCAGACTTCACCTACAACACAGACAGCTGCCACCTCCAGAAGTCCTCAGATTACTCGGCCATTGTGGGCCGTGTGTCTGAGGGGAACGAGCTGGAATACCGGTCGGTCATCACGGACTTTGTGGACTGGTGTGAGAGAAACCATCTGTCTCTGAACACCAGTAAGACCAAGGAGATGGTGATCGACTTCAGGAGAAGACCACCACCCCACCCCACCCGTGAACATCCAGGGACAGGACATAGAAACTGTGGAGAGTTTCAAATACCTGGGTGTTCATGTCAATAATAAACTGGACTGGACTCACAACACTGACGCTCTGTATAAAAAGCGCCAGAGCCGCCTCCACCTCCCGAGGAGGCTGAGGGCCTTTGGAGTCAGCAGGCCCCTCCTTAAAACCTTTTATGACTCTGTGGTGGCCTCAGCCGTCCTCTACGCTGTCGTCTGCTGGGCCCCTGGCAGCTCAGATTGGGACAGAAAGAGACTGAATAAGCTGGTGAGGAAGGCCACTTCTGTCCTGGACTGCCCTCTGGACTCGGTGGAGGAGGTGGCTGAAAGGACGATGCTGTCCAAACTCACATCCATCATGGACAATACCTCTCACCCCCTGCACCAGACTATAGAGGAGCTAAGCAGCTCCTTTAGTCAGAGACTTAGACACCCTGTCTGTAAGAAGGAGCGCTACCGCAGGTCATTCATTCCTGCTGCCACAAGACTCTATAATAATGCACTATAACCACAATAACTCCTGTAAAAACCACTGTGCAGCTACATTATAGTTTTTTTATTTATTGACTGTGCAATATCCTGTGCAATATGCTGAATGTGCAATATTTCTCCACCTGTATATATGCCATCCGGATTGTACATATTTTTATTTCTTATTTTTTTTATTTCCTTTTTTTATCTTGCTTTTCATTGTGTGCGATACATGTACACTTACACCTTCATCCTATTTATCTTGATATACTGTATATACCTGGATATACTGTGTATATATATTGCTTATTCTTAATGCACCTTTTTCCTCCCTGTTTGCACCTTCTGTAACTTCTTTGCCAATATGTGCCGAGTGAATTTCTCCTCTGTGAGATCAATAAAGCTCATCTAATCTAATCTAAGAAAAAAGACTGTTGAAGAAATGGATCACACATTTAAAGATGTATGATACTAGTTATATATAAACTAGAAAAATATGGGTTTTACGGTGTAATCTGTTGCCTGCACCTGATAACTCAGAGCTGTAAGTTAATGTGCAGCATGTTTTTTTTTTTTTTTTTATGGTCTAGCCTTCAATTGTTTTTTTGTTTTGTTTTTTCAAATTATTGACAGATATCAGAAAAAACTCGACCTAAAATATTGTTTTTCAGGTAATTTTTTATATATTAGTGGATTGGAAACTGTTATTTATTTAACTGACACCAATTTGGCATTCCATAGATACCTATGGCCTGCCGAAGATCGTTGGCTCTTGGCAGCTACATGCGACGTATAAGGTGAATTTTTTCCAATCTGTGCACCTGCTCCCAAAAATGTCTGTGCACACCACTGGTCCTGGTCATTTTTTTATTTTTATTTTATTTTACACCAACTAAACGGTTGTTTCTCTTCTACCAGCAGATTTCCACATAGTAATAGTACATCCCTTTTGTACTCAGGGCTATTGCAGACTACCATAGGAGGTTGGGATCCTTTGGGGAAAAAAACACACTCGCTCTTTTTAAACTCTTCATGATGACAAGCAGTAGCACCATCTAATTCCTCATTTAAAAAGGGTGGACTACAACAACATGGCACCTGTTATTCTTTGTGCAGAAAACCTTAGTAGATCCCTCGCAGTACGGCCCATGATTGCACATGCAATGTTTGTTTATATTAGCAATTATTTGGTATCTTACTAAATCAGGTCCAAAGTGTACTGAATAAAATGCACATACATTTCGAGCCAACAGTATCCTAGGGACATTGACACTAGGTTAGCAGGGAGAAAATCTAAAGGGTAGGTTATGTTTATCTTTTATTTTAAAAAACAATGCGATTTGATAAAGAGTTCAGGGACACTTTCATGTTGTGGATTATTGCTAGCTATTAACATCCAATGATCAGTTCAGGTCACTGGCTAATAACAGGTATATAATAATAAAACAGTTACTGAGACTTTAGTGTTTGAAAAGTCCAAGTCAAGTCTCAACTCATTAAGGCACAAATATACGTCAAGTATGAAGTGTTTTATTTTTGCAATTCAAGTCACCATTTGTTGTCCTAATCAAGCTTGAAAATCAGATCTGGATAACATGGACTACCTTGTGCCATTTTTGTTTATAGGGGTTGTCCATAGTGTTTTTTTCTATTGTGGTTGTTTAAACTACCTAAAATGGGGGACAACAAAGCAGAATACTTAATCCTCAGCTTAGATTTCTTAAAAAGGTTTAAAGTATATCTTTGTTTTTAATGAGAAAAACATAGAAACTATCCCTAAATTCCTTACTTTTCACAGTTTCCAAGGCTGCCTCCACATCTGATCCAACACGAGATGTGATGGGACAGAAAACGATAGTGTAGTGTTGCTTCATCTTCTTTGTTTTCACTCCCTTGAACTTCTTAGCAATTTTTTTCATCAAAGCTTCATCTGCCCCAAAGGTTTCACCTGTAGTGTGTTTCTCAACCTAAATAAACAGTGAAAACAACCAAGCTAAGTTCACCATAAAATAATGACAACTTGAGGCTTTCCATAAAGAACATTTTTAGCAGTCTTTCAATTAATCTGTGACAATACAAGACCTGATTGAAGAAAAAAGATTGATGAAGCACTATGCTAATTTACACCCCTTACCTTAAGCTTTTTTAGTTTCCCTTTCACCCATTTTTCATCGGCTTCTTTAGTTCCTTCTTTAGGAAGCTTATTTAATTTTTTGAACATCTTTTGGCTTCCTAGCAGAAAGGAAATAAATAATACTGTAAGTAGCTCCATCCATCCATCCATCGATCAATCGATCGATCAATCCATCCATCCAAAAAAGACAAAAAAATTCAAATAAAGGAGGTCAGAGACTCACCAACCTATCTAAATTCCAATTTTTGAAAGCAGTAAAAATCCAGTAAATTCCAGTTTATGGGTATTTAACTTTAAATACCTATAATAACTATTTAAAGTATTTAAAAGAGGGAAACCTTATGAATTATAAAGCTAAATTGGTTTAATCTTGAAAAAGACTGTTTCATGCCAAACTAGAAATGAAAATTAAGCTTGTAAGTTAAAGGCATTCACATTTATTTATCCACGGATGTGAGTGTGCAAAGTTTTAAAACAGTAAAAGCTTCTTTTATCAACTACATTTTCCAAAATACAGTCCAACATGACAAAAATAAAACGTAACCCCTACCTTTTCTGTTGGTTGTGCTCCTGTTTGGAAAGAGTGAAAGAGTGAACCACACGACACAACAGAGAGCAGAGGAATCTTTCACTTTCATTTTTTGAGAAACAACCAAGTATACAGGAAGTTGGCTTACCTTTTACATTAAAGGACTGCACGACAACAGACTTTATTCTGACCACTTTTTTTTGTACTATAGCAACAGATATATTTTTGCTGTTATTGATTAAAGCTTTTAGTGCTTATCAAAAACTAAACATATAACTTTACAAAAAAAAAAACAACAACAAAGAAACTGTTGATTGAGACTTTAAGGTGAATATGAAGATGAATATTAAGGTAATATAAGAATTACATAAAAAAAATAAGACTATAAAAATGACTAAATCCGTAAGATATACATAAACATATATAGAAACAACAACATTCACTGTTTCATATAAGATGGTAATAAATAAGGTAGGCCTATACAGATGTGATTCAAATAGCATTAGCTTTCTTAGAAGATTCTCTGAGTGGAGAGTTAGTAAAGGGTTGTTATGTTGTACAGGAAATTTCTTGAATTTAAAAAAATATAATTAAAAAGTGGCCAGAATGACCACCCTTCTTTCAATACCAAAAACACAAACCTTCCATCAACAGTCTGTCCCCTTCAGGATATCTTGATGATACTTTGTGCTGCAGCTGCAGCCTTCCAGCCATTGGCGTCTGTAAACCCTTTTCACAGGGGCACGTGCCCCGTTGTGGATCTGCAGTGCCTGGGTATATCTGGCGCACTGATTTTTTTAATTAATTAAAATATTTAATATTTATTTAGACTACTTTAGTTCGAATGTAAGTCTGACATATGTGGACGGAGTAATCAGAATCCACTTGCCACTCTTCTATTTGATTAAATAATTTTTTGTAGAAACATGAAAGTTGGCATATTTGTTTATCAAAGGCTCTGATACCTACAGTCTAAATATTATTTCTCTTTCTATTATTGTTTTTGATTTATTAAACATAGTTCAACACAAACCTCTGTTTTTCAAATGTTGCCAATCTCCCTCATATTTCACAGGGTGCTGTGTCTTTTCTAAAACATTTTGTCGAAAAACAGCCCTGAAGCTTCATTCCCCTTTCCTTAATGAATTAAATGGTGCCGGAATTATATCAATAGGACCTTTATGCCAAAGTTATAGCTCTAAACACAGCTGAAAAACACATGTTTTGAAATGGATGCCTCTCCCAAGCTATTTGATGTACAAATATGAAGTTTAGTATGGAACATTCTCAGACCCTTCTAGCACTCACATTAAAGGAATTTTGCCATGCAACTGCGTTGTATATATTATTCTATTATTCTTATGGTTTTCTGTCCTTTCCTCTCAGATTCTACATGCACATTAGCTCATATAGTGTTGTGCCATGTGTTGCATTTCTGAACTTAAGAGTATGTTTTTTGTAATTTAAAATCAGCCATACTTCTGCCATTTGCTTCTCTATGATTCCTCTATTTTCAGGAAGGCCATTAAGCTTTTCTTATTGCTCATTTCTAGCACTTTACAAAAGTTATTGCTTCCAGGTTTAGCTGAATTATTTTCTCTCCATGTTTCACATTACTTCAACTTTTAAACCCTTTCATCAAGCTTCTTATGTAGCACTAAGCTGCTCAATCAATACTACGTTCTTTAACATTAATAATAATAATATATTTTATTTGTATTGCACTTTACATTTCAACAAAATCTCAAAGTGCTACAAAATTCATAGTTAAAACAAAACCGTACAATAAAAACAGCATACATAGTTAAAACGAGACATTACAATAAAATAACTTACGTATAGTAAAAAACAAAATAGTAAAATAACCATAAAACCACACAGATAAAGTACTAATGTTCAAAGGCCATTTTAAATAAAAAATGTCTTGAGGCCTTTCTTGAACGCCTCCACATTTTAGTCTCTACCCTTAAACCAAACCTGTATTTCTTCAACCAGATAAGATGCCAGGTTTTTTTTCTTTTTTTTTTTCAAATTTTTGTTCTGATTCTGCTAATTTAATACATTTCAGCCTATATTTTCAACATTGGCTTAATTCTGCTCTATTTCTGAACAGGCATTAAGCTTTTCTATTTGCTGCTATTTCATAAAATGTCTGTCATGTTTTGGCTGTTGGCTTCAGCTAATTTTCAATGAAAAAATTAAGCATTTTTCTTTTCTGCTATTTCAGACCATTTCACCAGAATTTTGCCATTTTCAGCTTACAGTTTAACATAATGCATCCTCATGGCTGTTTCACGGGAACAGCTATTTTTCTAGTTTCTATTAATCTTTGGGAATCCTCATTCAATATTTCTTAGAACAGTTGAAGGAAGTAAATTATATATATATTGTCAATAAAAATATCAATAAAAGTTTGACTCACTCTGGTGACATAATCCTACTCAATTCAGTTTTTAACCTACATCTGTAATCTAATCTATTATTTCTAACTGAACAATAGCCAATGTTTTCAACTATTCAAAAACATTCAGGTTTTGTGTAGTACATTTTCTGACATAGAAACAGTTTTCTACATTTTAGAGCCCATATGTCATATGCTTTTAGTTATTAACTCAAGTTTTAGTAACAGGTGATAATTATCTTTAACGCCCTCATTCCGGGAGACAGAGGCGTCTAAATGTTGAGTCGACAGGGCTTATCAGGATAGTTAATCTCATGCCTGTAAAACTGAAACTTAGACTTTCTGAACTCATAAAGACATCAGGTTAACTTGCTCCAGCAAAAGAAGCTGACATTCTTTACTATTGCAATGTATTTGTAATAAATGTAGGTTTATATTCTCTATTTATAACTTGTTGGATCCCTCATCATTACATATTTTTTCAATGTTTTTTTTTTTTTGCCTTATGTTTAATTTTAAAATCTACAAAGTGAAAGTGAAATCTGAAGATAAGCTTTAGTAGAGTCACTTTTACTTTCTCTTTTTAAGATCACTTGAGGATTTATGTCGAAGGTCCAGAAGATTGATTTCTCCCTCTTTTTCAATGACATTCTGCTGATTGTTATTTATCCAATGACTCATGTAATTAAATAGCTAAAAGTATTTGTTTAAGATTTATGCCAGACAGGTTAAATTGTTTTATTTTTCCAAATGTATTTAGGATCATTAAAATGAATCTTATTTTCAGCAGTTCTTTAAAAGAAAATACATGGTTTCAGCTGCTCCTTCCCATGATAACATATTACAAATAGATAGTAGTACGGTTTATCTGTTTTTCTGCACAAGCTGATTTTATCATGTACAGATATTTATCCACCAGTTTTGACCAGGATTTCCTGTTATACTGTACTTACTAAACTTTAAAGATGAGCTCATGTAATTTTCGCAGGTTTCAGCGATCCATGTATAATTGTCCAGATGTGAGTATATGTGTGTTTTAAATATTGGCATATATTTTTGACTTAAGCTTTCTTATTGAGAGATGATACAGAAAAAAAATCTTCCTTTTTATGATAGTATACAATATACTGTGTAGAAAAGAAATGTATCCCTCCTTACTGATTCCTTCAGACTTTCAGTTTTCTTAATAAATAGGTCTCAGATTGAATCAGATTAAAAAAAAAATGTTTCCTCAGATAAAAACAAAGTGCAAATGTCAAAGTATTTTTTTAAAGTCAAAGCACTTATTAAAGTTAACCTAACAGTGTATAAAAAAGTGATTATACCGTACCACTTTGTTTTTAATCTTGCTACTCAAGGCACACTATCCTGCATATTTTAGATATTTCTTATCATACACCCCACACCGTGCCCCATATGTACACACTTAAGGCTAGCAACTTTTCAACAGCTGTTTATTAACTAAGTAATTTCTTAAACACAAAACACAACAGTATTTGGTCTTTTATTTTCTATTTCAAATACTTTTAATCTTGTAGCTTTGAACATTGGTTATGCTTTCTGTTTTTCATGGGACTTCAGCATACAGTGCACCTTGCCACGGTGTCATCATTCTTCATCATGGCCGGTTCTAGACAGGGGACAACGGGGGCCAGTGCCCCTGTAGATCATGTCTGGCCCCTGTTATGGCCCCTGTACTGAAGAAATAATACTTAAAAGAAATCCTAATGATGACATGTGCTGTAACAGACATGGTTACTGATAGGTCATTTGGATCTATTTCATTATTTTTCTTTACAAATTCTGTTTTACTAATTATTCAAAAACAATAAGGTGATAGCTTCAGTGGTACTGAGATAGGATCCCAGTTTTCATCTGCCATTTTTTTTTGTTATTCACAACAAATAAAGAAAAAATGCTCTAATTTTTACAGATTAATGTTACCGTTTTTCTTGAGTCCTAATTCAAATATTATAGAAAATGCTAGTTTTACCTTAAATTAAGTCAAAAATATGCAAAATAAATTATAAATTTATATTGACCTCATAAGAAATAGATTTTTTATTTAACCTTTTTGAATAGAAATTCCCCCTCATGCAGCTCTCTTAATATATTTGAATCCCTTGCCCTGTTTTGTATTTCATGCTTTTCTGGGCCACCATGAAAACATGGTGGCCCCCTCCTGGCCCCCTGGTACATTTGCTCTAGATCCGCCACTGTTCCTCACCTTCACTAGACGTGGATATACTTTAGTATATTCAATTGCTGCTAAATTAGTCTGATATTTTCGCTTTTTACTCGAGGATTCAACCTCTGCAGTTTCACAGGATGCACAGCTTTGATTGGTAACTAGGTGACTAGCCTAGAGAGTAGCCCAGAGAAACTTATCGCACTGATCCAATCAGCCTTCTGACAACTAGTAGCCTGGAACGCTCGGGGAACAGTGCATCGCTTTGGACAGACAGGTTGCACAGGTTTCACAAGCAATCTCCTCCCTACAGTACATATGGACTCTCTTATTGTCAGCAAAATTGCAGTAGTTCTAATCCACACATTGTGAATGAATTACTGTACGGCCTGCATGCTCTCAATCGCATTAAAAAACTCCACCTGGCATAGTCTAAAATCCGGGATAATTTATCTGACTCTCAGGCATCCGTAAAAAAATATTTATATCAGGGAGACTCCCAGAACTTCCGGGAGACTTGGAATGTCTGTGATTCCCCACTTGAATGGATAGTCTCTACTGTAGAACTTCACTGGATTTCACTCAAAGAGCCTTCGTTTTAACTGATCCATCTTTGTTTTTTCATGATGATTCACAAATTTATTTGTTGGGAAAAAGTAATCATAAACTTCCCCTGTTGTATACCCAGTTCTCTTATCTGCAGTTTCAGTAATGCCAGTTGTTCCACCTGTTTGTTCAGCTGTCTCTCTCTGGTGCCCAAAACTAAGTCCAAGTCTGCTGAGTCCATTTCTGGCTGGTTGTACTGTCACAGTGGTGGTGGAGGTTTGACAGGTTTTGACAGGACCCAAAATGTCCTGTTTACACCTCCGAAAGTCAACAATGAGACCTCCAAGTCAAAAGAGCTCATTGTTGACTTTCGGAGGTGTAAACAGGACACACAGCCCATCATCATTAACGGGGAAAGGGTGGAGATGGTGCCAGTCTTCAGGTTCTTGGGCACCCACATCAGCGAGGACCTGACGTGGACTTCCAACTCCACGGCGATCCTGAAGAAGGCGCAGCAGAGACTACACTTCCTGAGGACTCTCAGGAAGAACAAACTATGACCAGAGCTGCTGCGGACCTTCTATCGCTGCACGGTGGAGTCGGTGCTGAGCTGTGGCATCTCGCTGTGGTTCTCCAGCTGCACTGCAGCAGAGAAGAAGCAGCTCCAACGGGTCATCAACACCGCCCAAAGACTGACTGGCTGCCCTCTCCCCTCCTTGGAGGAGATTTACTCCACCCGCTGCCTCAGGAGAGTCCGCAGCATCATCAGGGACCCCTCACACCCCGGTCACCATCTCTTTGAACTGCTCCCATCTGGGAGACGCTTCAGGGCAATAAGAACTAAAACAACCAGACTGAGAAACAGTTTCTTTCCTAGAGCGGTTGTTGCCCTGAACGCCTCACGTACAATTTAACAACGGTAACTATCAATAATGCTACCACACGTGCAATAACCTGTACCCGCTACCTCAGGAGAGCCCGCAGTATCCCTTTTTAAACTTTTTTCGTATTTATTTATTTATTTATTTAATTTTATTTTTTTATTTTATATTTTTAAATTTGCACTGATTGCTTGTACTGTGTTTTTTTTTTTTTTTTTTCTTTTTCAAGTAATTTCGTTGCACCCCTGTGGAGCAATGACAATAAAGATTTCTGATTTCTGAAATGCAGTAAAAAAAAAAAAAAAAAAGCTTAAGGTTTTTACTTGAAGGTTTAATTAACCGAGAGTTCAACAGAAGCAAAAATCAAAAACATAAATCCACAAAAATGCTAAACACCAGGAAAACTCACAACAAGAAGGGGACAAAGTAATGACGACAAACCAGCAAAGAGTGACTGAACAGGAGGAGAATAAATGGGAGAGAGAAACAAAGACCAGGCTATTTAGCAGATTGGGAGCAGTTGTGAACAGAGGAGGCAAGAAGGGAGCTAGGGAAATGGAGACTGACACAAGAGGGCAAACAAGAAATATCTAAAGTACTCAAATACAATCAAAAACAACTACAAAGCACAATGGAAATAAGACCAAAGAAAACTCAGAGATAAAACTTTAACAGAACCAAAACCATGACACACATTGTCTTTGTATACGTTTTTTTTTTTTTTTAGCTCTTGCATTTTTTTTTTTTCACTCTCTGTCGTTGTATTATCCAAATCAGCCTTTTGTTGTTCACTTAACACATCTGGAGCAGAATTTTCTGCAGGATATTGTTCTGCAACATCATCATTTGCTTCAAGGACTTTACTGGCTTCTGCTGTGAGCTTTGCAAAGTTGTCCCTAAGCCCTCCTTCAGACATCATTGTTTGCATTCATAGCACATTATGGGCTAAACGAGAGGATTGACGCTTCACTATTGTTCTAGCCTTCTTAATGATAAACTCATCATCTAGGAACTGGATAAGCTCTGCATACGCCTATGTGTTTTTCATTCTCCACCTTCATCTTCATCATCTTCATTCTTTAAAATGACATCTTTTAAGCCTTGTAACCGAAGGTGTTGAAGAAACTTTGTCTCCCACAGCTCATATTTCTCCGCATCTCCATCATTAGCTAGCCGTGACCGGCAGTTACTCACTTCTGTCACTCTTCTGCTCATGGTGTTTTTTTTCATGCAGGCTTCACCGGACACGCAATTTCTATACGATAAGTTGATAGCTTTTGGGCTCACTGATGCTCCTACAGTGGGATTGTCTTTGTCTACCTTGATAACATTATTATTCTCAGGATTTGGAGTCCCATAGGAGACACCTCAAAACTGTCCTAATAAATCTGCTTCAGAACTAACTGTTTGTCAAGGCTGAGAAATGTTTTACGTTAACACAAACTTTTCTGAATTTTGTGGTCTTACCTGATCAGAGCTCCATGGACCCTATGAAGGTGTGCGGAGTTAACGACTGGCTGGTTCCTGGAGACCAGTAATAATAGGAAAAAGGAGATCAATAGTTCCTTTCTGGACATCCAGAACGTTTATTCTAGACGTGAAGAATATCATTTTGTTTCAAAATTGTCATTTTGACATGATGATTTATACAGCGCCATTAGCAAGATGTTGTTAATGGCGCTATATAAATAAACAGATTTTAATTGAATCTGACAGAGAAACGTTTTTGGAGATCTTTCCTTACAGTTGCTGTTGTTTTTCTACATTTTTTTAGATATGTATGAGCCTTTATACTTTAACTGGCTTTTTTTTTTTGCTGCAGACACACCCAAATCTCCCTAATGTAGAGCAATAAAGGTTTTTTATTTGAATTAATTCAGTGGAATAATGAACTGCACGGTCTTGGTTCCGTTAAGATTTCTGAGTTTTCAGTTTCACGTTGATCAATGTTTTTCTTTGTTTTCTAGCTTTATTGGTGTTTTCTGGATATATTTGAGTTCCCTAGCTCCTTCTAGTAGCCTCTGCTCACACATGCTCCCAATCAGCTCATTAGTCCTGTCTTTGTTCAGTCTGCCATAAATACTCTCCCTGTGCAGTTCACCAGTGCTGGTTCCTCATCTTTCCCTAGCTCCTCGTGCATGTTTTCCCTGATGTCTCCATGGTTCTGGTTTGTTTTACATTTTTATGTTTATGATTCTTGGATTCCTGCCTCAGTTGCTTGTGAACCCTCCATTAAAGCTACAAGAACTCGCTTCTGCCTCCCTGCCTCTGCATTTCAGTCCTCAAAACCTCAACAAAACCTTGACAAAAGGAACCAGCCAACATGGACCCAGCAGAGCCCAGCCTGGATGCACTAAAATACTTCTTCCTCAATCTTGGGAATACTCTGGACTCCATAGCCACTCTCAGCCTGCCTAGGAAGAGGGTGAGTGTGGCTGGCCAATTAAAGCAGATTCTTTTCTCAAACACCACACTTCTTTCTCCCCCAGTGTTATCAGAACTGTTTGAAGAGTTAGAGTGCAACCATCAAGCCGTCTGAAGCAGATGGCAGTTTAGATTTGCTTGTGAAAAAAAAAATAAAAATTTTGAAACTCAACCATTTAGAAAGCCTCCTTAACAATTGCCATTCATTGTATCACTAATACATGTTTCTCTATTTGTAAACCCAACTTATATGCTATTCCTTGCAGTCTCAGGTACCCCCCTGGGCCACTTAATCACCTTGTTGGTTTGTTTATTCTGAGAAAAGGCTTCATGCACCACTCCACTAGTCTCTGAACTTAAGGCAGCTCTTTTGTTCCTTGCTTTCCATTACTGGATGAAACAATTAATCCAGGTGTGTCTGGTCATGGTTCCAGAGATCAGGCACACCTGAATACATCTCTTCATCCTGTAGAAAAAGACAGGAGAAAAAAAAGCTGTCTTAATTTGAGGAAGTAGTAGATTTGTGCATAGAGCCCATTAGGTCAATTTCAACATTTCATTCACAACAATATCCAAAGCTGAATCCGAAGCAGGGTCGCAAGGGGTGCGGCTATCTCAAGCTGTCTAATGGCAAGAGGCAGGGTACACCCTGGACAGGTCACCAGTTCATCGCAGGGTAAAACTGTAGTGCAATTTTAGAAAAAATAAGGAGATATATATCATTATTTACACCTTTATTTAACAAGGAAATAGAATACAACTGAGCTTTAGGATTGCAGCATAGCAATAACAAAATCAAAGAAAATTTATTTGACTGATATAATCACAACATTCACATAAAAAAATCTCATTGTGAACTCTTTAAAACATTTACAGGAAGCTGTTTGTAATAAGAAACAGCAGCAATTAAATGAATAAGAGGAGATTATACAGGGTGAAGTGGAAGCTCCAATGTAAACTTTGCAAATGAAATAACATGATAAATATAGATTAGTGCATTAAATTTATATCCACGGCTGGAGGGAGGGTTCATGGAGTAAGAGGCATGACTCTGGAAAGGGTGCCAGTCCATCACATTGCATTGCAAAAACACGGAACAAACAACGTTGCACACACAACCCTAAATTGCAGGGAATGTAGAGATTCCAAATAACCAAACATTCATGCGTTTTAGACTGTATGAGCAAAACTGGAAGGAAACTCATGCATGGAATCCTTGGACTTGATAAAGCACTATAAAATATAGACTTTATTTAATGATGATTCATTACTTTATGATTTTTAGTTGGTGCCATTTATTGATCTCTTTTGTACTTTAAGAAAGTAAATCATCAGCACCAGAAAAACAACTATAACCCCAATCAGCAGCAATAACAGTGGCCAAAATGTGCAAACAGTGGCCAAAACTGGTTCTGAATGACGCAGTAAAGGAGTGTGAGAATTAATTCTGTTGTGTTTGAAAAACTCTTGCATCTGGAATACTGCTTCCGTGTTCTTGGAACAGGTGAGCAAACCCGGCTGAGTTTCATGGAAGAGAACATGAAGTTCCAGCTGAATGTTTGGGTAGTCTTCTGACCAACTTCTCCCAGCAGTTGAGTAGTTAGCATCACGGGTGTGGTGCATCAATACAAGGATGATCTTTTTATTAGCTGTAGAAATAAAAAAGTCATGTGATAAACTCTTAGATTTGTATCTGTGAGCTTTGCCAAAATAACACATAACTGTCTGCATCAGACTGGCAGTCTAAATTAGGTAGAGCAAAGTGAAGGATGATCAGTCTATAATAGTCTTGGTATTACAGTTTAAATTTTAAATGGAATAAATCCATATCATTGCTTTTCAATATTTTTTTTCCAGGATGGTGTCACAGCCAAACAGGAACAGACAAGATTAAGCTACTATGAGAAAAAGCAGAGAGAGCATAATGTTCAAAATTGAACTAACAAATTCTGCAGAGTAGGAGAATAGAGATAGAATGAAGCACAAGGGTGAAAAAGTGCTCCCTATGTCCTCCAGCAGTCTATGCCTACAGCAGCACAACTATAGAGATAGCCAGCATAACTTCAGACACTTTAAATATAAACTTTACCAAAAAGGAATGTTTTAAGCTTAGCCTTAAAAGTAGACAGGGTGTCTGCCTCAGGGACCAAAACTGGCAGTTGCTTCCACAGGAGAGGAGCCTGATAATGAAAAGGTCTGCTCTTATTAGGCATAAATCAAAAATATCTGCGTCATACCAGCTACAAGCTTACTGCAACACACTGCTGCAGGAGTATAACCAGCCCTCCAGACTCTAAAAGTTCAACTGGATCAAAGCAGTCTAAACCTGGTTCAGATTTTATGGCTACCTAAGATGCTGCATCAGCTTCTAGAGATAAACCAAACATTGTTAAAGGGGTGCTAATGATCTTATATTAATGGAATCTATCTTATTTATAAAGATACCCATAAAATCATTATTGCTTAGAGCAGGTTGGATGGACAGTTCTCTGTATTTAAAATATATCTAGGATTATTCGTATTCTCCCCTATTAATGAAGATAAATATACTGTTCTTGCTTTACAAAGGGTTGCTTGCTTTACAAACTGTTTTTCCAGACTAGGTAGGATTCCCATATGCATGTAGAGCGCCATTTTCTCTCCACTTTTGCCCTCTGCAGCACTGCTCAGCAACACAGAGGAGAGAGAAAGTGAAACTGGTTCTTTAAAATTTATAACTATGTGATAATGATCTGCTAAAATGAAACATTCTTTTGGGGGAGGAGAAGTCTGTTAAAGTAACGCCGCAGGTTATTAAAAAAGTGTTCAGAGAGGATAGGGTTATTTCTTCACATTCAATGCCATATGTCAGCACAACATTCAAAGACTATTCACATTTTGAACAAAGCCAATAGCTTTCACTTAAGCTATCACCTTCAATGTCTGCATGGATGTTAAAATCCCCATCTATGATGGTCCTGTCAGTATAACACAAAATTAGATAGGAACTGTGAAACTCATCTAAAAAGTCAGAGTAACAACTTGGTGGATGATACAAAGTTACAGAAAGAAGAGGTTTTGTGGCTTTGCAATGTGGATGAGGGAAACTAAGGATTAAATGTTCAAATGAGCTGACTTTGGAGGTTTCAGTAAGTCAGACTGAAGGATTGTTGTTACTGCTGCTCCTCGCGCAGAATTTCTTGGTATGTGAAAATTTAAATAGCTACAAGCAGTTATCTCATTTATGCTTACATAATCCTCTTGCTGCAACCAAGTTTCTGTAAGGCAACATAAATCAATGTGATTAACATAAATCAAGCCATTAACTAGCAGACTTTTTTTTTTTAACAGTAACTAGCAGACTTTTTAAAGAAAGAGATCTTATTTTAAATAAACCACATTTAATCATTTAACTTTTTCCCCAGTTGGAGTTATTTTAATTTTAATTAGATTATCAATATTTACTCCTTTGGGATTATTTTCTACTTTATTTGATATTGGTCATGGGCAAACACTGGATGGAGTAATGAGTGGGTAACAGTAGAGATGCTGGAGAGAGGTGTGTTTAACTATAACTCTGCTTCCTGGTCTGCACCCTGGGTGGTGAGGGTTTTGGAGGCGTAATAAATTCGGCCAGATTCCTCGAAACAAGAGCTGCACCATCCAAAGTGAGATGGATGCCATCTCCCCAAATCAGACCAGGTTTTCCCCAAAAGAGATTTCGAATTATTAATCTAGCCCACGTTATTTACAGTATACAACCTATACTATGGTTGAAAGACGACATGTGGCTAAACATGTAATACATATATATATATATATATATATATATATATATATATATATATATATATATATATATATATATATATATATATATATATATATAAATATAACTGCTAACACTTAATTTCTAAGCAGCCAATCACATGGCGGCAACTCAGTGCATTTAGGCATGTAGACATGGTCAAGACAATCTCCTGCAGTTCAAACCGAGCATCAGTATGGGGAAGAAAGGTGATTTGAGTGACTTTGAACGTGGCATGATTGTTGGTGCCAGAAGGGCTGGTTTGAGTATTTCAGAAACTGCTGATCTACTGGGATTTTCACGCACAACCATCTCTAGGGTTTACAGAGAATGGTCCGAAACAGAAAAAACATCCAGTGAGTGGCAGTTCTGTGGGCGGAAATGCCTTGTTGATGCCAGAGGTCAGAGGAGAATGGCCAGACTGGTTCGAGCTGATAGAAGGCCAACAGTGACTCAAATAACCACCAGTTACAACCAAGGTGGGCAGAAGAGCATCTCTGAACGCACAGTACGTCGAACTTTGAGGCAGATGGGCTACAGGAGCAGAAGACCACACCGGGTGCCACTCCTTTCAGCTAAGAACAGGAAACTGAGCCTACAATTTGCACAAGCTCATCGAAATTGGACAATAGAAGATTGGAAAAACGTTGCCTGCTCTGATGAGTCTCGATTTCTGCTGCGACATTCGGATGGTAGGGTCAGAATTTGGCGTCTACAACATGAAAGCATGGATCCATCCTGCCTTGTATCAACGGTTCAGGCTGGTGGTGGTGGTGTCATGGTGTGGGGAATATTTTCTTGGCATTCTTTGGGCCCCTTGGTACCAATTGAGCATTGTTGCAACGCCACAGCCTACCTGAGTATTGTTGCTGACCATGTCCATCCCTTTATGACCACAATGTACCCAACTTCTGATGGCTACTTTCAGCAGGATGGATACGAGCAGTTGGAAAGGTGTACCTAATAAAGTGGCCGGTGATTGTATATATATATATATATATATATATAACTTAAATTCATCCCTTTTCATGTGCACATTCACAGATTCATGATTAGTTCAAGCTGGATCGAGTTAGAGAGTTGATAACCAGCTTTGTGGTACCTCTGATCCTGATTGCCATTGATTAAACTGGATAGGTTGGGACGTTGGGCTCGCTTCGTGGCACAGGCCTGGGATGCAACATAACCTCCTTGGCAATGATGATTAAATATTGTTGTAACTAAAGTGATTTCTTCATCAAGTTGTATCTGCTGTTCCCTGAGGATCTCTTTTCTTACAATGAGAAACATCTTATTGATAACACACTGTTGTTGTATGAGTGTCTAATCAGGAGGATGCTCAGAGTTAATTTTAAAAAGAATTACTGTTTTATAATTTGTCAAGCTTGATTACTTACTTGACATGTTTTGCATGGCTGCCCCCACATCTGAGCCAACACGGGAGGTGATTGGACAAAAAACAATGACGTACTGTCCATCCTGGGTGGTACCTTCTAGATTAACCTTCCTTTTGACTTGGTCCATCAGAGCTACATCAGCACCATAGGTTTCCCCCTTAGTGATTGTCTCGACTTTAACTGTTGGTATTTAATGTAATATAAATGAGAAAAATCATGAACAGAGCAAAACAAATCAGAACAAGATCCTCAATTATAATTATATACTACATATACGTATATATATTTAAATATCTGACTTACTTGAATGAAAGGGCATCTTGTGGCTTCCTTCAGAAAAAAAAACAACATCATGACTTTTTTATCATTACTATTATTTGATTATCATTAAATTGGTCATTTGGAACATTATTAAAAATATTTATTTTGGAAAAACGTTATTCTGCATAGTGTTTTCGGTCAGATAATTTCATAAGTATATAGCAATTAAGACAACATGGTTCCTTAAGCAATGTGCAGGTGCCTTTTCCTGTTGATTTTGTGTTTGTTTGTTTTTTAACTGAACTTTCCATGACATGCATGGGTGAAGCCAAAATAGCAACCAGCTCTTCAAGCAATAAAATCTCATGACTTTACTTCCATTCAGAAGCAGCCAAAAATGATCACTTAAAAAAATATCAATTCACATTATTTGCAGGCCTTACCGTATCCTTTCTGAAAGTTAAATCACTTTATGTTCGTGTTCTGTAATACAGAATTTAAGATTTGCATAAGCTGAAAGACGTAATAATGAATTAATACACATTATAGCCTAATAAAAAGAGATCGATCCATAATATACATAGTTGGATTTTTTTGCTATATTTTTTGAAAAAGAAAAAATCAGTTCTTGATAATCTTGTTTAACACACTGAAACAACCCTACCTACATAAATCTTTCATTTAAAAAAAGAAACTTACACAGAGGGATTTTCATAAACATTAATAAAAGCTCTGCCTTAAACAATAGGAGCTGCTTTTGGTATTCTATACCAGTGTTTTTCAGCCCTGGTCCTCAAGGTACACTGCCCTGCATGTTTTAGATGTTTCCCAGCTTTCACACACCTGTTATCAATTGATAGCAAATTATCAGGCTTTGCTGAACTGCAATAATCTGAATCCAGTGTGCTGAAGCTCAGAAACATCCAAAACATGCAGAGCTGTGTGCCTTGAGGACCAGGGATGAAAAAAAACACTGTTCTATACAACCCACAGTTACCTAACAAGAACAAAATAATCAAAAAGACTTAGTCCTACCTTTGCTGTACAAACGTTTCAGCTGGAGGACTGCTAAAGCTCAGTGTGTGAGTGAAATTGCTTGTGAACAATGAAATCTTACTTTTACTTTCACTTTCACACTCAAATAAGTCACATGGTTTACAAGAAAAGACCCAGGACGTTTAATGATACAGTATCTTTTTCCAATTTTCTTTCAAGTCATGAGGAACAGCAAATAGTAAAACAAATAATAAGGAATATAAATGATTAGATCAAGTCTACTATCATAAAAAAATAAAAAATATGATAGATGACTTAGTGTTGTAGTCATAAACCTTTGATGATATCTCAGTTCTAGTCTTTAGAACTGAAGGTTATCAATAGAGATAAAGCCTGACAAGTGTTTCCAATAGAGGCATGAAATACTTACAGAGCTAAATCTATATATTATATATATACAAATTTTAATTTTTTTCAAGTTCAAATGCTATCTTTTGACTATTTTTGACAAGGAAAGGTAGAATATGTTGTTTCTCTATCAGATTCTTTAACAAGACGATTCAAAGACCTTCCTGTGAATGAACCATGAGGAAATAACAGACATGAAAAAAATACATTGATGGTAAAGAAAAAGTTATAGAGAAAAATGAACAATATTACAGTAAATCTGTGACCAGAACAATCAAAGGCAGTCCTACATAAATACGCTATTACCTAATTTGTAAGAACTTAGTGTTAGAACTTTGTGGTACCAAAGCTATTATGAAAATGGAGTAGAATTTACTGCATTGTTAATTTACTCCTTCAGGCTGTGGATAAAACTAACATATCTAGAAGCCTTTCTGATTTTACCTTTCTGGAAAAAACTAGTTTCATCTTAGAAAATAAAAATACTAGAGTGTGGGTTTGGTGTGCTGTTGGTAAAAGATAAATGAAACTACTAGGACTCTGGTTACAAGTTTAGGTTTGGATCCTTCCCGATAACATTACCTGGTAAGTTGGGGAACTTGACCAAGCCTTTATATTTTTTTATTCATTCATTCTTTACTTCTTATTCCCCTTTTTTTCCCCCAACACAGCACTAGACTAAAAATCATCACCTCATCATGATGTAATTCAGAGGTTAGTACATATTTTCAAGGAGCTTATACAGGGTGAAGTGGAAGCTCCAATGTAAACTTGCAAATGAAATAACATGATAAATATCATATAGATTATTACATTAAATTTATTATATCCACGGCTGGAGGGAGGGCTCATGGAGTAAGAGGCATGACTCTGGAAAGGGTGCCAGTCCATCACATTGCATTGCAAAAACACGGAACAAACAATGTTGCACACACAACCCTAAATTGCAGGGAATGTAGAGATTCCAAATAACCAAACATTCATGCGTTTTAGACTGTATGAGCAAACCTGGAAGGAAACTCATGCATGGAATCCTTGGACTTGAGAAAGCACAATAAAATAGACTTTATTTAATGATGATTCATTACTTTGATTTTTAGTTGGTGCCATTTATTGATCTCTTTTGTACTTTAAAAAAGTAAATCATCAGCACCAGAAAAACAACTACAACCACAATCAGCAGAAATACCAGTGGCCAAAACACACAAACTGGTTCTGGATGACGCAGTAGAGGACTGTGAGAATTAGTTCTGTAGGGTTTGAAAAAGTCTTGCATCTGGAATACTGCTTCCGTGTTCTTGGAACAGGTGAGCAAACCCGGCTGAGTTTCATGGAAGAGAACATGAAGTTCCAGTTCAATGTTTGGGTAATCTTCTGACCAACTCCTCCCAGCAGTTGAGTAGTTAGCATCTCGGGTGTGGTGCATCAATACAAGGATGATCTTTTTATTACCTGTAGAAATAAAAAAGTCATGAGATAAACTCTTAGATTTGTATCTGTGAGCTTTGCCAAAATACCACATAACTGTCTGCATCAGACTGGCAGTCTAAATTAGGTAGAGCAAAGTGAAGGATGATCAGTCTATAATAGTCTTGGTATTACAGTTAAAATTTAAATGGAATAAATCCATATCATTGCTTTTCAATATTTTTTTCCAGGACGGTGTTACAGCCAAACAGGAACAGACAAGATTAAGCTACTATAAGAAAAAGCAGAGAGAGCATAATGTTCAAAATTGAACTAACAAATTCTGGAGATTGGGAGAATAGAGATAGAATGAAGCAAAAGGGTAAAAAAGTGCTCCCTATGTCCTCCAGCAGTCTATGCCTACAGCAGCACAATTATAGATATAGCCAGGATAACTTCAGACACTTTAACTATAAACTTTATCAAAAAGGAAAGTTTTAAGCCTAGCCTTAAAAGTAGACAGGGTGTCTGCCTCAGGGACCAAAACTGGTAGTTGCTTCCACAGGAGAGGAGCCTGATAATTAAAAGATTTGCTCTTATTAGGCATAAATCAAAAAATATCTGCGTCAAACCAGCTACAAGCTTAATGCAACACACTGCTGCAGGAGTATTACCAGCCCTCCAGACTGTGAAAGTTCAACTGGATCAAAGCAGTCTAAACCTGGTTCAGATTTTATGGCAACCTCAGATGCTGCATCAGCTTCTAGAGATAAACCAAACATTGTTAAAGGGGTGCTAATGATCTTATTTTAATGGAATATATCTTATTTATAAAGATACCCATAAAATCATTATTGCTAAGAGCAGGTTGGATGGGAAGTTCTCTGTATTTAAAATATATCTAGGATTATTCGTATTCTCCCCTATTAATAAAGATAAATATACTGTTCTTGCTTTACAAAGGGTTGCTTGCTTTACAAACTGTTTTTCCAGACTAGTTAGGATTCCCATAGGCATGTAGAGCGCCATTTTCTCTCCACTTTTGCCCTCTGCAGCACTGCTCAGCAACACAGAGGAGAGAGAAAGTAAAACTGGTTCTTTAAAATTTATAACCGCTCAATGTGATAATGATCTGCTAAAATGAAACATTCTTTTGGGGGAGGAGAAGTCTGTTAAAGTAACGCCGCAGGTTATTAAAAAAGTGTTCAGAGAGGATAGGGTTATTTCTTCACATTCAATGCCATATGTCAGCACAACATTCAAAGGCTATTCACATTTTGAACAAAGCCAATAGCTTTCACTTAAGCTATCACCTTCAATGTCTGCATGGATGTTAAAATCCCCCACTATAGCCCCATTTACACTACCCTTGAAAAACCGATCCAGGCCCAGACCGGTCCGAGCTTGGATCGGTAACCAGGCCAAGCTCAGTTTTGACGACCGTTCACACATCACACTTATCTCGGTTACCTCGACTCCTCGCCTCCTAGTGACGATGTGCGGTATTACTGCTAGGATTGAAGGAGGGACTCAAGCAGCTGGTGGCGGTAATGCACCAAACGCTGTTTGTCAACCGCCGTAAAACCCAAGAAGAAGAAGACGAAGGAGGAGGGAATCAAGCAAATCAAAATGGCGGCGCCCGTCACATTCAGAAAGTTATGCTTGATTATTATTGCTGTACTTCCGTGTTTGCGGTGGGTCAGGCGAAGACGGCAACCTTGCGCGGATGTACTTGAATGGAGTGTGAATCGGCATGTTCAGCCAGTCGGCGATGACGCGTTCTGCTCATGCGCTCTTGTTATCAGAGAACCGAGCCAGGAAAAAACCGAGCCGAACCCACCTCGGGAACTGGTCTGCAGTTAGCGCGGTCCGGTTATGTTTATCTCGGTTCAGTTCAGGTTGTTTCCGTTCACACATGACAAGTTATCTCAGTTACTGAGCTCGGACCGGTCTCGGCTCAGTTTTTTAAGGGTAGTGTAAACGGGGTATATGATGGTCCTGTCAGTATAACACAAAATTAGATAGGAACTGTGAAACTCATCTAAAAAGTCAGAGTAACAACTTGGTGGATGATACAAAGTTACAGAAAGAAGAGGTTTTGTGGCTTTGCAATGTGGATGAGGGAAACTAAGGGTTAAATGTTCAAATGAGCTGACTTTGGAGGTTTCAGTAAGTCAGACTAAAGGATTGTTGTTACTGCTGCTCCTTGCGCAGAATTTCTTGGTATGTGAAAATTTAAATAGCTAAAAGCAGTTATCTCGTTTATGCTCACATAATCCTCTTGCTGCAACCAAGTTTCTGTAAGGCAACATAAATCAATGTGATTAACATAAATCAAGCGATTAACTAGCAGACTTTTTTTTTTTTTAACAGTAACTAGCAGACGTTTTAAAGAAAGAGATCTTATGTTAAATAAACCACATTTAATCATTTAACTTTTTCCCCAATTGGATTTATTTTAATTTTAATTAGATTATCAATATTTACTCCTTTGGGATTATTTTCTACTTTATTTGATATTGGTCATGGGCAAACACTGGATGGAGTAATGAGTGGGTAACAGTAGAGATGCTGGAGAGAGGTGTGTTTAACTATGACTCTGCTTCCTGGTCTACACCCTGGGTGGTCAGGGTTTTGGAGGCCTAATAGATTCCTCGAAACAAGAGCTGCACCATCCAAAGTGAGATGGATGCCATCTCCCCAAATCAGACCAGGTTTTCCCCAAAAAGATTTCCAATTATTAATCTAGCCCACATTATTTACAGGATACAACCTATACTATGGTTGAATGACGACATGTGGCTAAACATGTAATACATTTATTTATACACACATATATATATATATATATATATATATATATATATATATATAATATATATATATATATATATATATATATATATATATATATATATATATATATATATATATATATATATATATATATATATATTATATACAATCACCGGCCACTTTATTAGGTACACCTGTCCAACTGCTAACACTTAATTTCTAAGCAGCCAATCACATGGCAGCAACTCAGTGCATTTAGGCATGTAGACATGGTCAAGACAATCTCCTGCAGTTCAAACCGAGCATCAGCATGGGGAAGAAAGGTGATTTGAGTGACTTTGAACGTGGCAGGATTGTTGGTGCCAGAAGGGCTGGTTTGGGTATTTCAAAAACTGCTTATCTACTGGGATTTTCACGCACAACCATCTCTAGGGTTTACAGAGAATGGTCCGAAAAAGAAAAAACATCCAGTGAGTGGCAGTTCTGTGGGCGGAAATGCCTTGTTGATGCCAGAGGTCAGAGGAGAATGGCCAGACTGGTCTCGAGCTGTTGAAGGGCAACAGTGACTCAAATAAGCACCCATTACAACCAAGGTGGGCAGAAGAGCATCTCTGAACGCACAGTACGTCGAACTTTGAGGCAGATGGGCTACAGCAGCAGAAGACCACACCGGATGCTACTCCTTTCAGCTAAGAACAGGAAACTGAGGCTACAATTTGCACAAGCTCATCGAAATTGGACAATAGAAGATTGGAAAAACGTTGCCTGGTCTGGTGAGTCTCGATTTCTGCTGCGACATTCGGATGGTAGGGTCAGAATTTGGCGTCTACAACATGAAAGCATGGATCCATCCTGCCTTGTATCAACGGTTCAGGCTGGTGGTGGTGGTGTCATGGTGTGGGGAATATTTTCTTGGCAGTCTTTGGGCCCCTTGGTACCAATTGAGCATCGTTGAAATGCCACAGCCTACCTAAGTATTGTTGCTGACCATGTCAATCACTTTACGACCACAATGTACCCAACTTTTGATGGCTACTTTTAGCAGGATAGTGCGCCATGTCATAAAGCTGGAATCATCTCAGACTGGTTTCTTGAACATGACAATGAGTTCACTGTACTCAAATGGCCTCCACAGTCACCAGATCTCAATCCAATAGAGCATCTTTGGGATGTGGTGGAACGGGAGATTTGCATCATGGATATGCAGCCGACAAATCTGCGGCAACCGTGTGATGCCATCATGTCAATATGGACAAAACTCCCTGAGGAATGCTTCCAGCACCTTGTTGAATCTATGCCACGAAGAATTGAGGCAGTTCTGAAGGCAAAAGGGGGTCCAGCCCGTTACAAGCATGGGGTACTAATAAAGTGACCGGTGAGTGTGTGTATATGTATATATATGTATATATATATATATATATATATATATATATATATATATATATATATATATATATATATATATATATATACATATATACATATACATATATACATATATATAGCATTATCCTGCTGAAAGTAGCCATCAGAAGAAGTTCTGGTACATTGTGGTCATAAAGGGATGGACATGGTCAGCAACAATACTCAGGTAGGCTTTGGTTGCAACGATGCTCAATTGGTACCAAGGGGCCCAAAGAGTGCCAAGAAAATATTCCCCACACCATGACACCACCACCACCAGCCTGAACCGTTGATACAAGGCAGGATGGATCCATGCTTTCATGTTGTAGACGCCAAATTCTGACCCTACCATCCGAATGTCGCAGAAGAAATCGAGACTCATCAGAGCAGGCAACATTTTTCCAATCTTCTATTGTCCAATTTCGATGAGCTTGTGCAAATTGTAGGCTCAGTTTCCTGTTCTTAGCTGAAAGGAGTGGCACCTGGTGTGGTCTTCTGCTCCTGTAGCCCATCTGCCTCAAAGTTCGACGTACTGTGCGTTCAGAGATGCTCTTCTGCCCACCTTGGTTGTAACTGGTGGTTATTTGAGTCACTGTTGGCCTTCTATCAGCTCGAACCAGTCTGGCCATTCTCCTCTGACCTCTGGCATCAACAAGGCATTTCCGCCCACAGAACTGCCGCTCACTGGATGTTTTTTCTTTTTCGGACCATTCTCTATAAACCCTAGAGATGGTTGTGCGTGAAAATCCCAGTAGATCAGCAGTTTTTGAAATACTCAAACCAGCCCTTCTGGCACCAACAATCCTGCCACGTTCAAAGTCACTCAAATCACCTTTCTTCCCCATGCTGATGCTCGGTTTGAACTGCAGGAGATTGTCTTTACCATGTCTACATGCCTAAATGCACTGAGTTGCCGCCATGTGATTGGCTGCTTAGAAATTAAGTGTTAACAAGCAGTTGGACAGGTGTACCTAATAAAGTGGCCGGTGATTGTATATATATATATATATATATATATATATATATATATATATATATATATATATATATATATATATATATATATATATATATATATATATATATATATATATATATATATATATATATATATATATATATATATATATATATATATAACTTAAATTCATCCCTTTTCATGTGCACATTCACAGATTCATGATTAGTTCAAGCTGGATCGAGTTAGAGAGTTGATAACCAGCTTTTTGGTACCTCTGATCCTGATTGCCATTGATTAAACTGGATAACTGGATAGGTTGGGACGTTGGGCTCGCTTCGTGGCACGGGCCTGGGATGCAACATAACCTCCTTGGCAATGATGATTAAATATTGTTGTAACTAAAGTGATTTCTTCATCAAGTTGTATCTGCTGTTCCCTGAGGATCTCTTGTCTTACAATGAGAAACATCTTATTGATAACACACTGTTGTTGTATGAGTGTCTAATCAGGAGGATGCTCAGAGTTCATTTTATTTTTTATTTTTTTTATTCATTTTTTTCTGAGTTAATTTTTAAAAGAATTACTGTTTTATAATTTGTCAAGCTTGATTACTTACTGGACATGTTTTGCATGGCTGCCCCCACATCTGAGCCAACACGGGAGGTGATTGGACAAAAAACAATGACGTACTGTCCATCCTGGATGGTACCCACTAGATTAACCTTCCTTTTCACTTGGTCCATCAGAGCTACATCAGCACCATAGGTTTCCCCCGTAGTGATTGTCTCGACTTTAACTGTTAGTATTTATTGTAATATAAATGAGAAAAATCATGAACAGAGCAAAACAAATCAGAACAAGATCCTCAATTATAATTATATACTACATATACGTATATATATATTTAATATCTGACTTACTTGAATGAAAGGGCATCTTGTGGCTTTCTTAAGAAAAAAAAAAAAAACAACATCATGACTTTTTTATCATCCTTAAGCAATGTGCAGGTGCCTTTTCCTGTTGATTTTGTGTTTGTTTGTTTTTTAACTGAACTTTCCATGACATGCATGGGTGAAGCCAAAATAGCAACCAGCTCTTCAAGCAATAAAATCTCATGACTTTACTTCCATTCAGAAGCAGCCAAAAATGATCACTTAAACAAATATCAATTCACATTATTTGCAGGCCTTACCGTATCCTTTCTGAAAGTTAAATCACTTTATGTTCGTGTTCTGTAATACAGAATTTAAGATTTGCATAAGCTGAAAGACGTAATAATGAATGAATACACATTATAGCCTAATAAAAAGAGATCGATCCATAATATACATAGTTGGATTTTTTTGCTATATTTTTTGAAAAAGAAAAAATCAGTTCTTGATAATCTTGTTTAACACACTGAAACAACCCTACCTACATAAATCTTTCATTTAAAAAAAGAAACTTACACAGAGGGATTTTCATAAACATTAATAAAAGCTCTGCCTTAAACAATAGGAGCTGCTTTTGGTATTCTATACCAGTGTTTTTCAGCCCTGGTCCTCAAGGTACACTGCCCTGCATGTTTTAGATGTTTCCCAGCTTTCACACACCTGTTATCAATTGATAGCAAATTATCAGGCTTTGCTGAACTGCAATAATCTGAATCCAGTGTGCTGAAGCTCAGAAACATCCAAAACATGCAGAGCTGTGTGCCTTGAGGACCAGGGATGAAAAAAACACTGTTCTATACAACCCACAGTTACCTAACAAGAACAAAATAATCAAAAAGACTTACTCCTACCTTTGCTGTACAAACGTTTCAGCTGGAGGACTAATAAAGCTCAGTATGTGAGTGAAATTGCTCGTGAACTATGAGGTGCCCCCAGGGACATAAATCAGAATTAACTTGCATATACACATATTAAATTACACTCTTCCATATAATATACTGAAAACCTCACACAAACACTAGTAAAAAGCTCTCACATAAACTAGTGAAAACATTTACCTCTTATATAATCTACTCAAAAGCTCTCATACAAAGTAGTGAGAACTGTTCATATAAACTGGTGAAAAGCTTTAGCTTTCATACACACTACTAGAAAGCTTTCATATACACTATTAAAAAGCTCTCATATACACTACTAGAACGCTCTCATATACACTATTAAAAAGCTCTCATATACACTACTAGAACGCTCTCATATACACTATTAGAAAGCTCTCATATACGCTATTAGAAAGCTCTCATATACACTACTAGAAAGCTCTCATATACACTATTAGAACGCTCTCATATACACTATTAGAACGCTCTCATATACACTATTAGAAAGCTCTCATATACACTATTAGAACACTCTCATATACACTATTAGAAAGCTCTCATATACACTATTAGAAAGCTCTCATATACACTACTAGAAAGCTCTCATATACACTATTAGAACGCTCTCATATACACTATTAGAACGCTCTCATATACACTATTAGAAAGCTGTCATATACACTATTAGAACGCTCTCATACACACTATTAGAAAGCTCTCATATACACTACTAGAAAGCTCTCATATACACTATTAGAACGCTCTCATATACACTATTAGAACGCTCCCATATACACTATTAGAAAGCTCTCATATACACTACTAGAAAGCTCTCATATACACTATTAGAACGCTCTCATATACACTATTAGAACGCTCTCATACACGCTACTAGAAAGCTCTCATACATGCTACTAGAACGCTTTCATACATGCTACTAGAAAGCTCTCATATACACTACTAGAAGGCTCTCATATACACTACTAGAACGCTCTCATACACGCTACTAGAAAGCTCTCATATACACTACTAGAAGGCTCTCATATACACTACTAGAACGCTCTCATACACGCTACTAGAAAGCTCTCATACACACTACTGAAAAGCTATTAGCGGATTTCAGTTGAAACAGAAGGTGTTTCAGTGAAACAGGAAGGACCGTCATTACACCAGAAGTTGTTTTAAACGGAGGTCATTCTGGCTAGCTCCGTACATTTTGTGCTATCTCCGGCCGAAATTGTATCAAATAAAATTATTGATTAATGCTCAGCTATCCGCTAAACAACTCACAGAAGCATGGGCATTACTCGACTTTATTTTTTATGTTTTTGCTTCAACAGAGATCCTTTTCCGGTGTTGTGCGAAATTCTGTTCCCATGTGAAAATCTTTTCCACCTGTGTTGGGAGCGCGCCGCGCATTGCAGCCACATAAGCGGATCTGATCATTTCCCACGCCTTTCGGATAATTTCTTGGTTAAATAAAAAGTCGTAAAATTATACAAGGTTGAGACATTTAGTTTAATCAGCCGCTGTTGTTTACAAAATTGTAAAATAAAAAAAATAAATGCGGTTTTCTTATGCTGTTTTGTGTTGTTATTTTAAACGCCAAGAGAATCAGTCTCTTTCCAAGTTTTTTCACTTCAGCCTGACAGAAATAAAAGTCAAGTCACCAAATACCAAATTTGTATTTATAATTTTTTATTACTGATATAAGATGATGGGAAGTGCCTGATAGCAGTTCCATAATATGGAAACAAATTAATTTAGCTGCAAATCTTAAACTCTGTTTATTCCTCTCTTCATCAACAACAAACCATCTGGATTCGGTGATATTTGAGCAATGTTTGCCTAAATTATAGGAGGGGGACCATATATTTTAGCTTTCTAATAGTGTGTATGAAAGCTTTCCAGTAGTGTGTTTGAGAGCTTTCTAGTAGCGTGTATGAGAGCGTTCTAGTGGTGTATATGAGAGCCTTCTAGTAGTGTATATGAGAGCGTTCTAATAGTGTATATGAGAGCATTCTAATAGTGTATATGAGAGCGTTCTCATAGTGTATATGAGAGCTTTCTAGTAGTGTATATGAGAGCTTTCTAATAGTGTATATGAGAGCGTTCTAATAGTGTATATGAGAGCGTTCTAGTAGTGTATATGAGAGCGTTCTAATAGTGTATCTGAGAGCGTTCTAGTAGTGTATATGAAAGCGTTCTAGTAGTGTATATGAGAGCTTTTTAATAGTGTATATGAAAGCTTTCTAGTAGTGTGTATGAAAGGTAAAGCTTTTCACCAGTTTATATGAACAGTTCTCACTACTTTGTATGAGAGCTTTTGAGTAGATTATATAAGAGGTCAATGTTTTCACTAGTTTATGTGAGAGCTTTTTACTAGTGTTTGTGTGAGGTTTTCAGTATATTATATGGAAGAGTGTAATTTAATATGTGTATATGCAAGTTAATTCTGATTTATGTCCCTGGGGGCACCTCATAGTGAACAATGAAATTTTACTTTTACTTTCACTTTCACTTTTACACTCCAATAAGTCACGTGGTTTACAAGAAAAGACCAGGAACGTTTAATGATACGGTATCTTTTTCAAATTTTCTTTCAAGTCACGAGGAACAGCAAATAGTAAAACGAATAATAAGGAATATAAATAATTAGATCAAGTCTACTATCATAAAAAAATAAAAAATATGATAGATGACTTAGTGTTGTAGTCATAAACCTTTGATGATATCTCAGTTCTAGTCTTTAGAACTGAAGGTTATCAATAGAGATAAAGCCTGACAAGTGTTTCCAATAGAGGCATGAAATACTTACAGAGCAAAATCTATATATTATATATATATACAAATTTAAATTTTTTTGAAGTTCAAATGCTATCTTTTGACTATTTTTGACAAGGAAAGGTAGAATATGTTGTTTCTCCATCAGATTCTTTAACAAGACGATTCAAAGACCTTCCTGTGAATGAACCATAAGGAAATAACAGACAGGGAAAAAATACATTGATGGTAAAGAAAAAGTTATAGAGAAAAATGAACAATATTACAGTAAATCTGTGACCAGAACAACCAAAGGCAGTCCTACATAAATACGCTATTACCTAATTTGTAAGAACTTGTGTTAGAACTTTGTGGTACCAAAAGCTATTATGAAAATGGAGTAGAATTTACTGCATCGTTAATTTACTCCATAAGGTTGTGGATAAAACTAACATATCTAGAAGCCTTTCTGATTTTACCTATCTGGAAAAAAAATAGTTTCATCTTAAGAAAATAAAAATACTAGAGTGTGGGTTTGGTGTGCTGTTGGTAAAAGATAAATTAAACTTCTAGGACTCTGGTTACAAGTTTAGGTTTGGATCCTTCCCGAAAACATTACCTGGTAAGTTGGGGAACTTGACCAAGCCTTTATATTTTCTTTCATTCATTCTTTACTTCTTATTCTCTATTTTTTCCCAACACAGCACTAGAGTAAAAACCATCACCTCATCATGATGTAAATCAGAGGTTTGTACATATGTTCAAGAAACACACACCAAAGCTTATTATCATTCTTTTAAACTTTAATGATAAACTTTTTAAAGAGAACAGATCAAAAACATGTGGTTAAACAGCTAAGGCAAAAGTTTAACACATGGTTACCAACATGCAGAGGATACAGGATATCTTTCATTTACAGAGCCCTAATGGATCTTTATGAAATCCCACCAAATATCAATTTATCAAACCAACTTTATTTTCATAAACATTGCATTTGGACACAAACATTAATAACTGTGACGTTATTTGTAAAATCAAAGTGTATTTCTAAAGGACTTTGACACAAGCCTTGCTGAATTTCTGACTTATGGGCATTAGAGGATGCCTACACATTAAACAAGTGAGATTGTTTCTGTAATTCTACATACACTAAGAACAATTCAGCTGCAGTATGTTTTCTTCTATGTACATGTCATAATGCTTCTGTCTGTGTCCATTTAAGCAAGTTTCCACTGGATATTTTTGTTTGCTAGTGTGTGTAAGAAGCAACTAACAATTATTTTCACTTCATTAATCCCAAAGAGAACTTAAATGTTGTTTTAACTCTTAAAGTTGTTTGTAAATGTCAGTCTGTCTTACAGTGAGCCTGAGAAGCCTCTGACTGAAGATGCTCTGTTAATGTAA